ACTTTATGAACAAGTTCTTACAAAAATAACCTCATCCTTACATTTTATTACTATTTTATTTCTTATTATTTATATTTTATTTCATATAATATATATATATATATATATATATATATATATATAACAAATCATTTAATAATTACTTTAATCATATGCCCTTACTATCATTCACGTTCAAAAATATTTACCCATAAGTACTGAGGTTTGATTAAAAATACTTTCTTCCATTCAATTATATCATATGATCAGCATACATATTATGAGAAGAAATATAATAATAAAAGAAATAATAAATAACACATAACTATAGAAGAAAATATAAGAATATGTATTAGAGAGCTAGGACATTATTAGCATGTTTTGAGTGCAATATTGTTTGACATAATGTATTTGACTTAAAGGTATTTTTAGTTCAAATATTGTTGGGGGATATTTGGCCAAATAAACATATAAGGGGGATACCAAGCTAAATATGTGCATTATAAGGCATATATATTCAATTTTTTTCTTATGTTCTTATTAAATTTTGCCTTCATTCAACAAAGAGCTTAAGGTGGTAACAAAGTATTTTGATTATCAAAAAAATTTTTAGTTTAAGTTAGCAATATTTTAAATAAATTTTATGTACATTTGAGTACTAAAATTCAAGATACAAATTGGAAAAAGTAATTCCAATATTAAGATCACTCTATAGGATATATAGGACTCAAAGGAAGGTCGCGCCTCAAGATTGTCCAACTAACTCATTAACTAAGTAACTCAAGACAATCCAAGGACATTTAAACTTGCCAAAAAAAAACTCAAGAGGGAAGCTTAGAAATCAAAATCATATATTTTTTATCTTAAAAATCATATATTATTGCTTCTTTTAGTTGTTGAAATTGCTAAGCTAACCAACAAACACAAACTTGTATGAAATAAATAAAAAAAAGGCAAAAAATAAAAAAAAAATAGCACAATTGACCATAATTCACGAACATGAATCATACTTTGCAATCACTTAAAACTATAAAAAATTATAGCTTTTGATAAACTACAAAATTAGGAATTAGATTGTGCAACTAGGTTTGATTTCAAAATGTGAATTTGGATAATTTTATTTGTATGTAAGAGATCTAGTAATTAATAGAAAATGATCTTAAAATATAATATGTTATATACATTATATTTTATGATATGCCTTATTTTGGTATAAATGATATCAATTTGAATTAATTAATATAATTAAATTTTGAACTAGTTGCAGTATACAATATACCATACTAAAAGCATATCTATTTTTATTTAATTAATAATTTGAGATGCCTTAATTAGATTAATTAATTAAATTTTGAATCAACTATTTATGCAACCAATGTCTTTTTGATTAAATCAAAATTAATTTGCATAACTTATGAAAAGTTTGACATGAATTATTTTAACTTGATCATATTGTACAATCAACCATTACATTTTTTATGGTATTAGGACATTTAAGCAAAACACTCAATATAACATATTTCATATCAAACTCTTAACATAAGAGATAGAGAAAGGATAGAAAATAGAGATTGTCTTACAAAAACTCATTGATCTATAATATGAGAGAGAAAGTATGAGAATGTCTATATTGGTTATTTTCTTTTACTCTACACCTAATGTTCCTGATGGTTTAAAAAATTAACCATTTTAGGAGTCATTGTTTTGCATCTTAAGATAACCCAGCTATTAAATGTCCCTATGAAACACAGTGTTACTAGTTGGTAAGCAAGAGTAGCATGCTTCATGCTAAAAGTAGAATTGGGTGAAAGGCTTCTCCATTAACTATGAAGGAGAGGTGCATCTCAACCTTGTGGTGGCCAAAATGGAGAATAGAAGAAACCTTAAGTGGAGCACTCAATAATGGATAGTAACCCTTGGAATTAAATAAGTATACATTAATTTGTCCTTTTTTATTTTATTTTTATTTTGGACCTTTAATTTACATACTTTACTTCTTTGTGATGTCATAAAAATGTTGAAATATAGAACTTGCATGTAATTTAAGATCTAAAAAACTAATTTAAAAAATCTGAATTAATTTTTAAAATCACAATAATTCATCAACCCCCTTCCTCCACTTCTGGTTGTGCCATACTTGACATATAATATTACGTAATAAAATACATAATATTTATAAAATAAATTATATAAATTTTATTAAGTTTTATAAGAAAATTATAACCATCACCTAACATTTACAAAATAAATATATAACTTTTTTATGTTGTTGAGTTTTATGAAAAGTTATATAATAATTTATCCTAATGACTTCTGTAATTATTTCTTAAATATATAATATTTATTATGTGTTTCTTGAGATTTTAGAAATATTTATTAATTCTTATAAGATTTTATTCTATTATTGCATGTTCAGAGAACAATAGTGAGAATGAGTATCAATTTCAAATTGTATGAAAATCTTATGCAAAAATACACTCAAATGAATAACACATAGGAATGAGATTTTTTCTTTTAATGGAATACTAAAGAAAGAAAAGCACATCTGGTCTCACTCAATTGAAATAGTTTCACTAGTTTGAGTTACAAATTATAAAAGATAGAATCCTTATAACTAAATAATTCATTAATATTTATAACTGATATAAATTGTGGAAGATGGTATGGAAGTTGTCATTAAGATGTGATTGTTTATTTGTTGGTAAATTTTATAATATGAAAGGTGGTCGACAATTAAGAATATTAATATCAAACTCAGTGACAGTGGTGAAGAATATCATTACTGCATAGAGAAATTTGGGCATGATGATGGTGTTAAGAATTGACTTTATTGGTTAAGGTGCGCATCAACCTTATTAGTAATGATAAGCATAAGCCTCATTGTTGATGAAGGGCAAGGATCTTGGTGGCCATAAAGAGCATTGATGTTTATGGTAATACTAAGAGTCAAAATGTATATTAATGTTGACCATAAACTTAATTTCAATGATGAACATAAACTTTGGTGTAAGTAGTAAGTATCTGCTATATTAAAACTATCAAACATTAACATTTCAATTGATGACATATGTCACCCTTATTAATGATGATAAATGTTAAGAGTTTTTGATAAAAATGGGCCTTAATATGCATTGGATTTAGTGTCAATTATAGGCATCAACCTTCTTGTTGATGGTGGATGTTAGCTTTGCGAGCAATGATAAATGTCAAACATGATTGTGAAAAAACCATCACTATTAATGACAATGATAGATGTCAATATTGATGACAATTTTTGGTGTTATTCTTGTTTTTAATAATAAGCATCAACTTTATTAAAAATGACTAGAATATGACTTGGTGATGATGACATGCATTAATATTGTTGATGATGATAAATATCTGATTATTGATGTGGGCATGCATTGATTATATGGTAACGACTTGCATCTACATAGTTGTGGCAATGATTGTTAATCTTTCTATGGTAAAAGACTTTGATGTTGTTGGTAAAATGGACATCAAAATTACAAGCAATGGCAGAATTGAATGCTTGTGATGATAAACATTAGCCTTATAGAAGATGTTGGTGTCATTTTCAATGGCAATGATGTGTGTTGCCATGTTGGTATATGTGGTGTTATCCTTTGAACTGACATGAAGCATTGGTGTAACTGTTGATAATGGAAATCAAACAAATTGTAAACAATGGGATTTAATAGTGTTGGAGATTTTAAATGCCAACATGATTAGAGAGCAGATACAAATCTTATTGGTGATAAAAAAAAAAAAAAAAGCATTGTTGATTTTGACAACATCAAACAATAGTTTTGGTGGCAACAATGTGTGTGCGCATTATAATAAATGAAAGGTGTCTTCTTTGTTTACAATTCATGTTTTAGCAATATTAACAATAACATAAATTGTTGTTGTTGTTGAACATGAACTTCTTTATTGGAGATAGCATGAATTTCTTATGTTGTGTTGATAGTGGCCAATGACAAACATCAAATGCTAGTAAGTGAAACTTTGAATAATATTCCTTAGAACTTTATTTTAGAGGCCTTCTTTGGACATCTTTAGATGTATAGAAGGTGAGACTACTTGTAATGTTTTTCAAGAGATCATTCTAATCATTTCAATTACAAATTAGAATGCTCTACAAAATAAAAAATAAAAAAAATAGATCTCTATCATATAATCAAAATTATTATCCCTTAATCATATAATACTTTTAAAATAATTTGATGTCTTGATGCTATCATAACTAAATAATCTTACAGTAACTAAGGTCACCACATTGAGACCCTCATTTCAATCACAAGCATGCTAAACTAAAATGATGTTTAAAAGCCAAAAAAAAAGCTAAAATATATATACATAAATACTTATTTAAACAAAATTTATTTTATAGTCACATTATCGACGTACCCATGGACCGCTCCATCATGTCCACATGGACCGCTCCATCATGTCAACAAGAGTATGCGGTCGCATCCTACCGCTCACGAGTAAAATCCTAACACACCCACAATAAGGAAATCCTCGTCAAAGGAGACTTGGGAACAATGAAACCTAAAATTTTAAGATGTGGAATTATATTAAAATAAGATGAATTAAAAAATAACTCTTGATTAATTTGCTTAATAAAAAAAACACAATATATTACAATTAACTAAATAATTTAAGAAAATATAGTTAACCAAATCTTAATTATAAAATATGTGGATTATTATTGAGTTTAATATGCAATCTTTAACAAGTTAAACAAATTTATGCTAAAAAATTAATAAACAAGCTAAACTATGCTCAAATTAAACTCATTTATTCTTTAGGTTTTTACCAAAATTTAAAACTTATTTAATTATATATTTCAATGAAATTTAATAATAATTAATCAGGCCATGTACAAACTATCTAGTGCATCACTTCATTTACAACCCTACAACTAAAAATATAAGATCTGGACATTTCACTACATTCAAAAACAAGGATTAGTTGATGCTAATGAAACAGCATTAAATAAACATTTTGATGGCCAATGAATAATATGTGTAAGCTGCTGCCTCACACGGAGAGCAGCTTGTTTTCATAAAAATCAGCAGATCAATTACAGTAACAGGCAAGGTCTCCTGCTTTAGAGCTTTCAGTCAAATCTCATTGTAATATTTAAGAAAACAAAAAGGGAAATATACAAATGCATTAAGGATGTACATAAGCATCATAAACATTAGCAAGAGCAGATGAGAACGATAAGATATACAGCTAGGATTTCAATAAAATCTGTAATCTTTCAAATCCAACATTTTTTACTTTCTTTTATTATCTTTATTATGAACGCCATGATCATTCAAAAAATTAAGCCAATTTTCAGTAATGAGGTAAGGCATATTCGTCCGTATAGTCAAAAACCTGTGGTAAATTATTCTGCACACTTGCTCTTCCATGTTGTCAAAAACCAATGCCCATGAACTCTACAGGCCTTAGCTTCCATCATCATCCTCATTATTTTGCAAAGAAGCACCTCTTGCTTTTGCTCTGTAAAAGAAGGAAAAAAAGTGAAAACAAGAAAAAAGTTGAATGACATAAGAAAATGAACTTGCCGGCGATGTGCGGGTACAGCCCTCTGGCTTCCTTTCAATGACGGAGCATCTTTTAATGGTGATTTGTCCGCACTAGTTACTTTAGCTAAGTACAACAAAGGTTAGTTACATGCAAAGACTTGAAAGAATATTTCAAGGCAAATAACGAGGATTGGTGGGGAATCCTTAAATAAATATCGTTCAGGAAAATAAGGAACAGTAATTTACAGGTTTTCCACATTGGTAAAGCTCATCACTTTGACTTTATTCGAATGAAAGCTTTACCCACAAATGCAGAAGATCCATATACCCCCGCTTTAAATGATGAAAGAATAAACTGCAAACAACTTAAATAAAGAACAAAGATGGCCAAGAATATCCGAAGGGCCATTAGCCTTGAAAGAAATATCAATAAGCTTCCCCTTCCCCAATTGGTTAATAAATCTACTTGAAGCCCATCAAGTTATAGCCCTATAAGACAAAAAAAAAAATTTAGGTTCATTATTGAATGTTTATGGCACCCACATAAGGTCACTGCTGTACTCATTCTATAAATTGTTTTCTAATTCATTCAATCATTTTTTAACATATAATATTATAAGAAAGCTGAATGTCTTAAAAAAAAAGGTAAAGAGTAAATAAACACCAAAGGAGAAAAGGAGCTTTATCAAATAGATTAAGCATGATTTAAGATATCTATAAACTTTAATCAAATTAGATAATTCAGAAGCAAAGACAAGGGGATCACAGTTAAAGATGAAGCTGTCAGGATTAAAATGCTACTTTCAGAAACTATTAAGTGATATATCTTCTAGTTAGAAAATGCTACTGAATTCTTATTCTTCTATATAAAACATTCAAGATACTTGAAACCATCACAACTAGGTATCACATTATCTTTCAAAAAACATTGATATGTAATTTTTAATATCAAACTATTTAAATTGTAATTTACATACTAACACTTTGTTCTATTGATTCTAAGCCATCAAATCTTCTTAAATTTACGCATTGTTCCAACTTTTCACTTATATCAACACATATCACTAGTTAGATTTGTAACCGGTGAAAAACATTACACTAAGGCAAATTACTTTAAATATCGTTTCAAAGAATCGATAACGAAGACAAAACAATATGAACTCAATGCCAATGCATATTGTACACCTAACCATAACTGAAAATCTTCCAAGAAGTTGACAACTACTAGTATCAATTGATTCTCCATCAAACATATCCTTGATAGCTTCAACACAATTTTGACACACATCTTTCTTAGTGTATACCAACTCAATTATTTTGATAATTAGATTATATTCATTCTCAATATCAATAAAGTTTATATGAAAATAATTTCTATTTTATATTTTTTCATTAATTACTTAACTCAAAATTATCTTCCCAAGTGGATCTTCATGGCATGAAACCCAAATTGATTATCAAATCCAGAACAAATTTTCTCAATATCAAAACTTCATTTCTTCTTATTCCTCAATTAAAAGCATATGTTACATATTTATTTACACTCCTATCCCTATCAATTATAAATTAAGAATATTTCTAAAGAAAAGAACCTGTAATTAGATCTCCTCTAGTTAAGTATCTAATATCAAGCTTCCTAATTTACATGCATCACAATATATAGCCGTTAGATTTAATATTTTTCATAGCAATCTTAATCTATTTCTCATTGCACATGTGCAAGCATAACACGCACATGTGCCCGCACACACCCCCATTCACACACAACACATCAATATTTGCATATCTAGACCCACCCATAGACACTGCACGTGCAAGCAAATGCCAAACAAATGCAACAAAGCACACTGGCAAACCAAAACATGCATAAACACCTGCCCACGCACACCAAATGCACGTGTGCCTATAGAGAGGGAGACTCCTATACATTTAGAATGATAGAGTTATTTGTCCTTATGCATTTTTTTACCATCACTTACAAAATTTTAAATGCGTAACATTAGAAGTAAGCTAAAAAATAAAAATTGTCTTTTGACTAACTCAAAATCTATGATGGATGTTAAAGTTGCGTGAGAATCTGTGTCTCCCTCTCTCTCTCTCTGTATTTGTGCTATTAGATGCTACTATTTTGGCACTCAATATGAGTGAGAAAATAAGATACATGAAGTTCAAAACTTTGATGTTCCATAGACAAAATCTGACCATTCAATAGCATAGTGATATTTCCATTTTCATCGCTCCTACCAGGAATGCCAATTCAAAGGTCAATTCATAAAAAGTACGTAAATAGTAGGCCTACCTGAAGTTTGTTCTGCTTCAGAAATAACCAATTCTTTACTTCCTATGTTGTCATAAATATGGGATGCCTTTTCCGGAACCTTTGCCTTAGGCACCTTCCTTTTGTTTGTAAATGAAAGAGCGTCAAGCTGCTTCTGCAAATTTTCGCTCCTATCCTGATAAATGTTAAATTTTCAAAAAATAAAACAGTCAAATCTACAAACTCATGCATTTAAGTAAATTCAAAAATTCTTCTCGATAAACATGGTAAGACCCCTAAACAGCAGCAAGTTCATTCAAGCATTATCAAAACCGTACAAAAAATGAAAGAAACAGATAGAATGGCCTTATTGTAAATGGCATGAAATTTTAATGGTCTAGAGTCAAATTAACAATGAAGTGAGCACTCAGTTACTGCCCACGAACCTACTTTGCAAAAGCAGTGCTCTCCTCGACTCCAAAGAATCACAAAACATTTTGTGGCAACAGAAAGAGGCTCAATCGTGTGAAAGCTTGTCCGCAAACTTCAGAGAGCAACAACTACTAATAAAGCCATCAACAGCAGTTTTTTCACACAACATGCAATGCGGATGAAGAAAATATCTTGTGAAAGAAAGAAACGCATATCCTCCTAGTAAAAAAATGAGAAATGACATGTCTTAGTCGTGCCTGATGAGGATTGCCAAAAGCCACCACCATCTCTTCAGAGAGAAGACACTGTGTCACTATCACCGATTTAAAGGTCAGTTTGTGACAGCTTTCTCACAGTTTTGCTTTAGATATAGCTATATCATTCTTGCTACTTCCCAAAAATTTGTGTGGAGCAAGATAACTTTTTATAACTAGATTACTAGTTTGGTAGTTACAAGAAACCTGAAGTACGATTTTTCCTAAAAGGAAAAAAAATCTATAATGTATATAATAGTTTAAAATAAATATTTATTTTTCCCACACCAGTTATACGTCAGCAATTACGTATAATAACACACAATCAGTTCAAGCCCTAAGTGAGTTAAGCAAAAAGCCTATGTCTCTAACAATAGCATCTAACTTGTTGATAGCTCCGTCCGCTATGTGCACGAGATTAGAGACAACTATAATGGTGGTAGCAGTCTGAAAAATAATCTCACACCCTGTGTCCGGAATACGGTACATCCCGACAATGCAGGGCATGATAAAATGAGAGGAACCTGTTTTGTATTTTCAAAAAAAGACTTGCATGAAAGTAAAAGAAAATGAAATATAGATTTTATTGATACTAAAAAGGGTACTGATACAACTAGACTGGAAATAGAAAACCAACTGAATTGAAACAAAACAATAACATGAAACAACTATCTAGACCCAATAAAAAATAGCTATAACAAATACTACGGAAAAATATCAAAACTGGTAAACTAAAACTGAAAAGTTCGCTCTTGTGGAGACGGTCCTATTGGCAACTGAATAGAACCCATTATGCAAAAATTAAGAATGACTTTGACAAACTCAGTAAATAACATCTATCTAATAAAGCATAAATGACTAGGAAAATGGAGTATGCATTATGGCAACAAATAAGAAATAATCACTAGGTGTATATGTAACTTGTCATCGGTCACATTCTCTTTACTTCTCATGTGAAACTAAAATGTACATTGCACGTTCCTACGTATTGCAAGCATCAAGATGCAGTAATAAAATAAAACGGCAAGAAACTGAAAGGAACGAGCGATAAGAGTACCGTTTCAGAAGATAGCATCTCCTTCATCCTTGACAAGTTCTCTAGCCCTGGGGAAAAGCAGCTCAACGCATGACTATAATTCTTTAGTGAAGCTCTCTACAAGAAGAAAATTGAAACAAATTGGAAAAAAAGCAGCATGCCTCTAAACTTAGCTGATTCCAAGACAAGGTTATTTAAGAAAAAAATTGAACTTTCAGAAGTGCCGGCAATAAAAAATGGCAATTGTGCAAGAAAAAAGTTGTTTAAACAGATTTATTCATCTAATGGGGAAGATAAGATAGAATTATAAGGGAGGAGGAAGGAGAGGAAAAGCCAACATCCTGAAGAGTGGAAACACAAATCTTACAATTTCATTCAACAGTAAATTAATTTCAATAAAGTGCACTAATAAAAAGACCAAAGCTCCTTATAATAATTGCTTAAAAACAGCGTATTTAAAAAAAAACATATATTAAAAACCAAAATTACAGTTTTAGAACACGTTATTTGTTCCACAATATTTCAAATCAAGACATGAATCTCATCATTATCTATTCTAAATCATATTTGTCACAATCATCATCGGCTTTTATCCCAAAAATGCCAAAGACTGTTCTACTAAGGATGGTTAGTAGCTAGTACATGTAAGCCATTGTTCAGTGAGGGGTTTGCTGACAACTCCTGGGCGGGGGGTTTTGCTGAAGAAAAAAAAAATAACACCAATGGGGGAGGCGTTTCTCATTTTTCTCATTTATGCCCCTAATGCTAGACCCTATCAATTAATAGAAAAACAAGACTCTAAATACTCATAAACTACCTCTTGACCTCTAATACTCGTAAAATGCCCATGAGCTAAACGATTCATAAAGACTACTCAATTAAATTTAACACTCTCATTACCGGTCCCAAAATTGTAGGGCCTGATGTTTTCACTGTAGATTTTTACAAAAAATCCTGGGACATCATCAAGTTGAATGTCCTTGCTGCTATTAATAGTTTCAACCACTACATGTAGGCCATGTCTTAACTCCGATTCACTCCCATAAAGTCGAGTCTAGAGGTCAAGGAACTCTGGATGCAAAAAAATTGAGGATTGTGTTAGATAGTTAACAACAAACATAATTTTTTTTTTGTCAAAAAAGTATAAAACGGATCCTTAAATCATTGTGTAAGTGTTAGGGCATCTTTTGGAAACGAGACATTATATGACTTGAATACAGTAAAAAGTGTGCAAGGACTGCTACACCAGCACTTGGATGGATGCAGGCAAAGAAATTAGTCCATGAAACTAAATTAAAATAGACCCTTGGAATATAGGTACGCTCACAAATAAATTAATGGAATTAGTAGATATTATGATTCACAGAGAGATAAATATCTTATGGATTTAGAGAAAAGACTAAGGAGAATGATATGTTAGATTTTAAATTTTGGTATTCAAGTATGAGTCGCGCAGGAAATGGTGTAGGTGTAGTTATAGATAAAAGTTTGAAAGATAATGTTAAAAAGATTAATAAAATTGGAGATAGAATTATAGCTTTAAAGATTTTTGTTGATATTGACGTATTTAATGTTATAAATGCTTATGCTCCTCAAGTAGAATTAAATATAGGTTCAAAAGAAAAAAATTGGAATGACCTATTAGAATTAATACAAATGATACATCTTGAAGAAAAAAAATTTATTGGATGAAAATTAAATGACCATGTTGGTAGAGTAAAAGAAGAATTTGTTAGTTAATGATTTTGGAGTGATTAATAAAGAAGGTAGATCCATTATAGATATTGTTTTATCTTTTGATTTTGTTATTGGTAAGACTTTATTTAAGAAAATATATTAACATATTATTACTTATAATGGATCTAATAAAACACAAATTGATTATTTTTTTATGAGAAAAGAGATCATCGAGAATGTAGAGATTGTAAAGTTATTCCATATGAAAATTTAAATACTCAATATCGATTATTAGTTTTGTATCTTAAGATAAGTTGGAAGATAAAACATACAATGCAATATTGTTATGGGATTAGATGGGATCACCTAAGAGATAAATAAAATTATTTTTATGAGTATACTTCAAAATTTCAAGATTTGGGATATGCATGAAGAAACTAATTCTATGTGGGATAAAGTAACAAACATTATTTAACAAGCGACAAAAGATATACTTGAAGAATAAAAAAAATATTTATAAAAATAATTGATAGTAGAATAATAATGTGCAAGAAAAGATTAAATATAAGAAGTTTTGTTATAAAAATTAGTTTAATTCAATACTAACTTATGAGATGTTATCAATGAATCTTACTATGTTACTATCATATCAATATAATTACATATACAACCAGCACAAAAGCACCATCTAAAAATTATACCGATTGAGGTGTTTCAATATTAATATCTTATTTTATATACGTGCACAAACGTCTTAGTATTCTCCCACTAGTATCATAAAGGGATGATTTCATCATAGCCAAACATGCATATAAAAGCATACCATACAAATACTACTTTCAAATAATGACTATCATTTACATATCAGCCAATATTCGTGTACATAATTCAATGATAAATTAAATAAAATTGAGCACACAGGACATTCTGACAATATGACAAAATTCATTAGACCATAAATCAGGGTATGCAATATTATAAGAGTACCGATAAATGAATTCGATCATAAAGAAACAAAATATTACTATAACAAAAAAATATGAGTACTCACCCCGATGAAGATTAATTTGTTATTTGATTTTTCTTGAAGTCGACTCTTCTAAAGTTAAAAACCTAACAACAGCACAAACCTTTATCCCATTAAGTGGTGTCTGACATGAAACATTTTTCTCCATTGTGTCATATTTTTGTTAAATTTTAATAGATTAAGATCATTTTTTATACAATATGCCCAAGGCTTTTTAAGTCTATCTCTTCTTACTTAACATCAGTCGAAGCTAAAACATCCTAAAACATCTACTCTCCTAACCGCTCCTAACCGGATCACCAGATGGTCAACATTTAATGTGACCAAACCATCTAAGATTACTCTCTCTAATCCTGTTCGCCACTGGAGCTACACCAACTCTATCACGAATATATTCATCTCGTATTTTGTCTCTAAGTGTCAAGCCACTCATCCACCTAAGCATTCTCATCTCAGCAGCACTTAACTTTACTTTATGCTTCTCTTTTAAAGGACAAAATTATGTGGTACTTTTCTATCACCAATAGGCTCGATGAATTCCTCCACTTCTACCAACCGACGTCAAATTTACTAACAACATCCTCATCTATATCACCATCACTTTAATCAATAGACACGAGATACCAAAAATGTTCACAACTTTTAATAATTTGATCACCCAAAGTTACAACTCTACCACTAGAGCTACTACTACTAAAATTACATTTCATGTATTCAATTTTAGTTCTACTCAAACGAAGGCCTTTAGAATCCAATGTAGACCTCCATAATTCAACAAATCTTTCTCTAGTCCCATCCACAAGAGGGATATCATCAGCGAAAGCAACACCAAGTTACGTCCTCCTGTAAATGTCCAGTAAGAGCATCCATAACTAAAGCAAAAGGATATAGGCTTAAAGCCGATCCTTGATGTAATCCAGTTGAAACAGAAAAATACTTCCTGTTTGAACACAAGTAACAGCTTTAGTATACATATCTTTAAAGACTTGAATATAAGTCATATAAACACATTTCTCCTCTAGAATTCTCCAAAGGTCTTCTCTTGGAACCTTATCATAAGCTTTTTCTAAATCAATAAAAATCATATTTAGATTTGTACTTCTCCATCAAACCTTTCAATAAATGTATAGCTTCCATAGTAGAACTACGCGGCAAAAATCCCAACTACTTATCAGAAATCTTTGTATCACGTCTTAACCTATGTTCAATTACCCTTGCCAATAATTTTAAAGTATGACGCATAAATTTTCTTTTCTTTTTTTTTTTCTTTTTTGCACACTCTTGTGTATCCTCTTTATTCTTAAAAATGAGATCAAAATACTTCGTCTATTCCTCAGGCATCTTTTTAATTTTTAAAATAATATTACTTCTTAGTTTTTAAAATAACTCTTAGTTTTTAAAATAACATTAAAGAGTTTAGCAAGCCAAGAAACTCTCAAATCTTCTAAGTATTTTTATACTTCAACTGAGATACTGTCGGGTCCTACTGATCTTCTACCATTGATTTTCTTTAAACCCTCTTCAGCTTCTTTTTTTACTAATGCGACAGCAAATGTAAAACATTTTATTATTATTAACGATATTAAGATCACTAAGGTTGATCGTATATTCAGAAAATTCATTGAAAATTTTATCAAAGCAATTCACCCACTTATGTTGAATATCTTCTTTTAAGAAAAGTACTTTTTGATTTTCACCTTTAATACACTTGAATTAAATCTTTGCTTTTCTTTTCTCTTTGTTGGACTACTTTATACATATATTTTTCAGTCTCTTTAATATATAATCTATTATAAAGATCATTAAAAGTAAAATTTTTAGCATCACAAATAATTCTCTTATATTTTTGTCAATTCTCTAAGTTTTTACATTTAAACAGATTTTTATAACACAACTTCTTATATTTTATCCTTTCTTGCATATTATTATTCCACCACAAATTATTTTTATTTATATTTTTTTCCTTTTGAATTTTCAAGTACATCTTTTGTCACTTATTCAATAGTGTTTGTTACTTTATTATACATAAAATTTGTTTCTTCATGAACATCACAAATATTGAAATTTTGAAGTTTACTCATAAAAATAATTTTATTTGTCATTTAGGTGTCCTCATCTAATTTTATGAAAATGATTCATAGTATTCTTTATCTTACAACTCTCAATCTTAAAATTCAAAACTAATAATCGATGTTGAGTACTTAAATTTTCACTTGGAATGATCATGCAATCTTTACATTCTCGACAATCTCTTCTTCTCATAAGAACATAATAAATTTGTGTTTTATTAGATTCATTCTTATAAATAATAATATGCTCATTTTTTTCTTAAATAAAGTATTATCGATAACAAAATCATATACT